TTTTTGTGATGAAGTTGACACACTTCAATACATTTTTTATGATTGTCCATCAAATGGCGCCTTACTCCATTATTTTAATAACATCACGTCACGACTGCTTCAACCAGACTTTCACATTCCTATTTGGTGGTTCACTATTTTACCACCCTATCGCTCAAAGCACTTTATGTCTAGCAAGGCACAAGGTATATTTTGTTTCTTAGCGTGCATGGCTAAGGTTGCAATTCATGTGAGCCGTCGTAATAAAAGGCAAAACAAAGGCTCGAGTGAGCCTCTGGAAATTTGTATTCAAAGTATTAAGTCGAGGCTTGAAACAGAATATGAATGTTCCCGGATCATGAACCAACTTCCTGAATTTGAAATTATGTGGATGGTAGAGGATGCACTTTGTAAAATCGAGGATAACACACTTCGCATTCTACGGTAAATATGGCAAGTAGGATCAATTTTAATACAGAAATTTGCCTTGTCTTATTAAACATTAATACAAATGAACACCATCGCTTTAGCAATCTTAGCACACGCACAGGAGCCAAGAGTTTTGTCCTCTTGGTGGGCTATCATTGCACACACTTGCAGCAGCGCATATATGTTTTATGTTACTTGTTCTGAGTTTTAAATGTTTTGATTTTCCCTTGGAATTTGGCAGGGGGGTGGTACCCCCTTAAGTGCGAACCGGTGTCACCGGCCTGCCTACGGGGTTCCAAGGTGTTTTTTGTACTGTTACGTAATCGTCTTTTTTTATTTATTTTACCCGTGAAACAAAAACCATATAATATACTTACCCGATGCCCCATACACAGTTGGCAAAAACACCACTAACACAATGAAATAAAAATTCATTGTCTTTGAATCACATTCAATCTGTAAAGCGAAAATCACAACAAGATTACATGATTGCGCCATCAAGAGCGGGTCAAAACAATTACATTAACATAGAAAGTACATTACATTGTTTTACCCTATATGTATATGTATATATATATATATATATATATATATGTCATTGTTAAAGTGATACTCATTGTTTGAATGATATCGACAGTGGTTATTATAGACACGTGTGACACATAAGCATTGTGACGATAAATTTAATTGCTTTAGTGACCTAGCAATATTCTAAGGTGTACTCAATTATCTCGTTTACATCCAGTGCTCAATTTAATTTTGAAGGTCGGTACCTAAATGGTCGTATATCAGGGTCAAAAAGTGAGGTAATAGACACGCTTTTAAACCAGATAAGCGGCGTTGTTCACAATAAGGCATGGGTGTAAACTGTGAGATCCAGTACGATTCTGGAAAACTTGAAATAGTCACATATTTGTTTTCACCTGGTTTCGTGTAAAGAATCTTCAAAATCAGCTGAGAAACATTTAAGCAAAACGCTCCTCGCTGCCCTAAAACATACTCAGTAGTGGTATGGTATGTTATGACGTAGTTATACAATCTGTACATGCATAAAGTGATGTCAGATGTTTCTAAATAAGTGAGCATATTCAGCTCTATATATGGCACCCAGCATATTTCATTCTCAGTCATAATCAAGTAGTTTTTGTATGACACCTAATGTCCACATCAGACAGGTAACATTGATGCCATCGGAGATGATTTGTTGTAACATTGTTATTGTATTTCCCACAAGCTCGTTCTATCTGCCAAAAATATGTTGAATGTTTTAGTCAGTCTTTCTCTACAAAAAACTAGGTTAGTCTGAGTTGATCGTCGTTTTGTTCAGATTAAAGGCACAAATCATACTTGAAATTTAGTCTTTACAAACCAACTATTTAAAGCTTTCAGACTGAAATTATAGGTAGGTTTAATTAGTAATCTCATGTACTATCGCCCATTCTTCCTGGCAACCCTATATATGTCATGGGCACCAGTAAACAATGATATATTTCCTATAACAGTTTGCGATCCGTAAACAATAGTTAGCATTGTTTACACGTGGCACCATCATCACTACATGACGTAATTAATCGTTCTGTTATCAGGGGGAAATCTCCTTCTCTCGGGTTCTCCACACTGTCAGGGGGGAAACTCGTCTCGTCTCTCTATCTCGTCCCCTTGAGGTACGGGATCGGGAAAGTCACTTATACTTTACAGTCAAATAAGACGCACACAACGAAATACGTTTCAGCTCTCGTCTTAGTCGATCTTTTGGAGCACTCTATAAGACACAGCGCCCTGGGGAAAAAATCCCCAAGACTCTCGCAAGGCTGAACCAAGACTCGCCCAAGACTGGACTGCCTCAAGGCTCGCCCCTGGACTCTCTCGGACTCCTGACTGCCCAGGACTGCACTCGACTGCGTCTATCGTGGAGTATTCGCCAAGACCAACTCAAACTCTTTTTATTCATTTTCAAAACTCTAACCAATTACAAAGCAGTAAAAAGACTCTAAGGCGTAAACTTCAATCATAAAGCCAATCAAACTAAGTACTGAATACGTCATATCTTTTGATTAATCGTTCACTACATTAATAACTATGAATACCAACTGTCAGAATCGCGACGGATATCTCGTAATTAGTTCCAAATCACTGAGCCAAGTTCCGTCCAAAACTTCAAATAGGCCTACACGATGACAGACATAACACAGCAATTCGCTAATAATCAACTAATTAAGTCGGTTAACAGATACGCAAAAACAAATTCATGACACTGTATTCACATATGCGGTATCTTCGTCAGTCACTTGATTATCGCCGTTTCACAACAAATATTTCAAAAGTATATAACGGACAATTTAAATCATAGGACCGCGGACATTGACTTGAACTATTCACACAATGTGGCGGAAGTCTTCATGACATGAGAATGTTGAATGTTAAAATTACCGAAGTTACGTACGTATATAAACATTTCTAATCTGCTAGTAATTATAATTTAACTTCTCTTGGTTCAATGAAGGGACAAATCAAATGTAAATCCCGGCAAAGCTGAACCCTTTTGTAAAGAAAAAATAGTGTTACCTTCAGATTGATATCAATGCGATGCTGTTGTAGGTGTGTCTCGTCTGCGTGGCGTGGTAGACTGTTAGATACTCAGACCGTTCTGTGCATCTGGATACTCGTTAACACATAAATACACACGTCCGTTGCCATCAATAGTCGATTTATTACCAATTTACTTGCTATCATCATATCGTCCATTTAACATTGACTCGGTGCTTGTTCTGTTGTATGGCAAGGGTGGATAATATAAGGGCAGTTAATATTGAAATGCAATGAGGATCCTGTTGAAATCTCAAGTTAAAACAGATTTCTAGAAATATATATACTGGAAGTTTGTTTTCAAATAGGCAAACAAATCAGTTACGGGACTAAGAGAGGAGTGAATGCAGCACGTACGCGTCGTATTGTTTTGTGACTGTACACACACAGTGTGATATTACCATGGAAACTGACGGTCTGTAAACTCGTTCAGTATGTGTGGTCAAAAATCCATAGTAACCATCACTGTTAATTATGAGCATAAAATAGGTTCCCGCAGTTTAGTTTATTATTTTAAATTATCATAATGTCATTGTTAAAGTTTTCGGATTCTAAAATGCTCAAGTAGACAATACGATGCATGCGTCACAGTAATTATCATGCATTATTATGCAAATACACTGTATCAAATATGTAAATATTTGTGTTAATTCAGTTTATATCGTATGTCTCAATTATGGTACAACCTTAAAATATAATAGAAACATTACACGAAATATTGAAAACTCGATGTTGACACACAATGCGTCATTTACACTGCATTACTGGATTCGACGCATATCGGGTCATTAGGCAAGTCCGAAACATAAATAAAATAGTACTATTCTACCAATGATAAAACATGAATGACGGCGGACTAAGACAAAAATGGCGACTACTTCTTTTTCATAATTTTGCTTGTAAACGATATGGTAATGTACACTGTCATTTCGCATTTACCTCTACAATTTAAAAAAAATATCATCTTCCCTTTTATTGTAAAAAAAAATCATCACCATCCTTACCGCGATCATAATCTTGCATTCAAACCAATCATAGTTAACAATTCTCGGCCATATGAAATATCATAATTATAATATACCTACATTTGAACCATGGAACTAATCTATTTTTAGCTACATAAACCTATCAGTATATTTCCGAGTGGAGTTTAACATCGTATACAGGTCAATACAACAACCTAAACTGTCTGAAAATTTGAAAGACATTGCAAGCATGCTTTCGTTGAAATAAGATAAACGTAAATACAGTTGACTATGGCACTCAAATTCAATTTGGAATACCAACGTGCTTACAACACATGGTAATATATATGTTCGCCCGCGCTCTTCCACGAGGATTTCAAGTTCGATATATTCCAGCCCCTCTAGCCAGTACTAATATCCCATTCAAAGAGATACGTCGCATAAAAAAAACACAACAAACATAGTTTAACACAATACCTGGCTGTGGGCAGCCTACAATTATAGATTTTGTTCACACTGTTATAAGGAACAACATGTATACCACGCACGTCCAAGCAACCACATAGAAAGAAAGAAACATGCTATTCACCACAATTAACTCAATACAGTCAAGTAAATTCACAAAAATAAAAACAGAAAAATTCAATTTATACATTTACACATAATCAAAATACCACACTATAGTTACATTATCATACTACATGTACCTTAAATATTGTAACGGGTTTTAAACAAAATATTTTTTATTACCATATCAGTTATCACATTTTATATTTTCGTTATTATTGAAAGTTTTATTGTATTTTCACCACTTTTATTTCGAATGCAACCACATTAGAAATGTATATTTTCTTAACCGTTGGATTAAAACTTTTTCTATTTTTATCTGATTATAAACACAACACTAACACGTGTCAGTCAGCCAATGTCCGAGTCGGGACATTTTATTTTATGGTGTGAGCATTTCAGTATTGAAGCTATATAATTAGATTTAGATTTAACAACCCGTAAAAGAAAACTGCAAAACTCCTGGAAAACCGATGTAGACAGGAGCGTCATCTTCTGTAGGGAGAGATAATAACGTTCGTTTACGATATATAATTATATTAGGACTTAATTTCACTCATACATACAAGCAGCTAATAGGATTTGGTCTGCCTGCGAGGCTGTTACGGTAGTTGTTGTTGAAAATGAAGTTCTATATCCATATCCTGATCAGAGCAATTCCCCACCATATATGTCACCACACGCTGAGAATTGTGCAACATACACTGAACGTAAACTTTACAATTATGATTGATCAAAGCAAAGAGCGGCGCCTTTGAAGATGCCAGAATGTTTTACTCTGAGCATGTTTAGTGTACCCCCTTGTGTGTGTTATTGAAATATTCTGTAATTATCAACACGTTTAACAGCATTTAATAATAGAACATTTTGATTGATTTTGATTTTCACATCTCAAGGTTTCACAGTACATTGTAGGTACAATTGAACTAAACACATTACAGCATATAATAACTGTATTTAGCGGATAATTTAACACTTCAAGTTAAATACATACATGATAAACTTATCAATAACGGCATTGAAGTGGATGTCCTCGGAATTGTGGATGCTGTATAAGACACCCGTAACGCAGTATGGGTAACACAAGACATTTTCCGACCTGAAACTCACTACTCGCATCGCTCGCAGTACGCCACACAATCGGTAAGTTTTCATATTTTCTGTTTGCATAAAAATCTGCGTTGCTCATTTATTTGCCTGGAATTTATAATTATATTCCTTAAAGATACAATATAAACGGGAACATGTAGTTTTTATTATTATTATTATTGTTGTTTGATACTGTATATTGATGTTTACACTGGGCTATGATTTATCATAAACTTGGTTCTTGTAGCACAAGTATATTTATGGGAGACAATATAATTCTTTAATACGCATACCCACTGGTTGTTTTGGTACGTGAAATAGCAGTCACTCGTACATGCGCACTAGTGGTTTTGATTTTTCATCTAACGATTAATTAATAGGTTAGTTTATGATGAATCATAATCAGATATGGTCTACAGTATGGAACTCCTAGAAACAATTTTCAGATAAATACATGTTTTCCTTCATGATGCATCTTTGAAGAAAAATGTGACGAATTCAAACGAAATGCAATAGATTCGAATCAAACACACAACCAGGTTGTATAAGAATTCAAACAAACAAAAACTTCGATAAACGCAATTGGATTTTATGTTGACGACTATTTACCTGAAACAGGCAAATCGATATTTTTGATATTGTTGTCTGATACTGTATGTTGAAAACTAAATTGGATTACGATTTATCGTAAACTCACAACTCACAGCATTATATCGATGAAAAATTGAGAAGCCCTAATACGAATTAAAGCGTGGGAGTCGTCACCTGCGCATGCGTCAAATGGCCATAGCGTGTCATTGTTTACGAACAAGCGTCTACCCATGAGCCTTTGCTTTTTAGTGTGCGTTGTTATTATCGCTTGGGACTCAATTCCCGCGCGTGCACAGGTGACGACCCTCCCGCTTTCACATTGATTGCAGTGCTCATACGTATTAGAGAATTCAGTCGAACACTCATGATAAATTATAAGTAAATGTATTAATCAACAGATAGTCTTAAACAACATTATTAAAAAGTATATGATGTCATCCACATTGCTTTTTTAATATACGACCAGTTATTTTTTACGGTGAAGGTGTGCCTGAGAAATAGGTAGGACACATGAGAAAACAAAATGGCATTTTGAATCATATCAAAATGTCCTGCACCAGTAACGTACCATGAATGAGGGCACGCAAACAGAAAACCAAAACATATGTCCCGTGTCGGTCTACGTTCAACGGACAGAAATAAATATAATCACCTACACACAACATTTATATGAATGTGAAAGTAAGACTGTCTCTCTTGTTTACAGTCGAGAAACTGACCTATCATGATGCGTGTTACTGTCACACTTGTTGTAAGCCTGCTGTTGATTGGCCTGGTTGCTTCGAGAACTGTTGAGAATATTGTCACCAGAGATGTGAATGAAGAAGCCGCAGTGAACCAGGAAGAGCGTGGCTTGGGCGAATGTTTCAAGATAACTGACCCCGCTGCCCAACAGGCGTGTATATGTGCAGAGACTGGCAATGGATGTGCGTATTAGCACTATGAAACAAACCACATACTCGAAGATCTGAGATGAGCGTCTTATTAAGTTTTAAGTTTGGATACATTATAGTAGTTATTTAGAAAATAAAATTGATAATAAATAATGCAATATTACAATAAATTGGCTAAATGTATACAACACACGCATAACCCTGATTACCAAACCTCATTTTTCCTATTGCCATTAGACTATTCATATTAGAGAACCCTGTGTCTAAAACATATCGAACAACTCATTTGGTTGTTCAAATCGTTCATCATAAAGCAAGTCACTGTTCGATTACCTAAGAACACCACTTTTACAAAACCACCGTTTAACTGAAATCGTAAAATACATTGTTTGTTTACGTGATCCTCCCGCTTTAACTAATTCGGTTCAACTTACTACTTTCTGTCCCACTGTAATTACCAAAAGAGATCTTGAGCCGGATTTGAAAAAGCTAGATTTCCCATAAATTGTCTATTTACTTATTGACTCTTACACAATCCCCAGGGGGAAAGAAAATGGTCACAAAGTACAAGAAAGAAAAAATATAAAAACAATATACTAAACACAATCACAATCACTAAATCACTAAATAATTCAAAGTCTCTAAAGTACTAAATAATATGAGATTACTAAAATGACAGCAGGCAGTAAGATGTCAAGTAAGACCCTGCTTCCTGACTTCAAAGCTTTTACTTATGAACTGTGCTACTAGTATAATAATGTTTTCATTCTGTAACAATTCCATAATATCTTTCAGCAGGTTTATTTTCAAATGCTGGGATCATATCCTTAGCTTTATTGAACAGTTTGGTACGCAACTCATTATATTTGTTGCATTCCATCAGAAAATGCATTTCATCCTCAATTAGACCTTTTTATACATGTCACAAACCCTGCTGTTTAATAGGATTTTTTATGACGACCCATTCCAATTTTGAGACTATGATCACTAAGACGATCACGAAAGTTGGTAAGCACACTACGCAGTTCAAAGTTTTTTAGCTTGACTAAATATGGCTCAAGGTTTAAATCTGATTTGATTAGCCGATATGTTTGTTTTTCCCATTTGCTTTGGTGCGGTTATCAATATAAACCTCACCATTCCATCTTGTTAGGAATAAATCCTTGATGCCTAACTCACTTTGTTTCATTTTTGCCGAGGTTAATTTATCACAGTTGTTAAGGGAATGATATTGTTGAATATTGTTTAATAACGATGTTACTTCCAGATATCATTTACTTTTAATGTTTTGGTTAACCACAAAAGCTTCCTTGAGTAACACATTATTAGAATTCATGGCCCGACTGTAATATTTTTTTTTTTTATAAATACATCTAGGGGGTATCTGTCTAACTCGGCCATAATTGGTGTGCGTTGTGACACACCTATTAATACCGACAATAACTTAATTGAACGTCCTCGATAGGTGATTTAGTGGAGAACTCATCACCCCAAACATCACAACCATAAAGAGGATAGGTTGATGAGTTTGTCAAAAAGGGAAATTGAAACTTTTATACTTTTA